TTTAAAAAAATAACCTGGTAGTATGAAAGAACTTTTTTTAAATGCAAAAAGACAAACAGAGGAATCCTACGCAAACTTGCCATAAATACAAGGGATGAGGATGATGATGAGTGGAATAAACTACGTTCACATTGCGTTCACCTGCTTTACTTTGTCTCAAGTTTTGTTCAGTTCAACTGAACTGAAAATATAAAAATAGAATTACTCAATTCATTGCAATTCTGAGCCCATTCTTATAGCCCTTTCCCATAGATTTGTCCTTCGACTCCGCTGGGAACGGTCACTTACACAACGACTACAGCATTAGCTTTGTAGATATTTTTATCCCTCCTCGCTACTGAGCTTATTGCCAATATTGGTGCTACCATTTAATTAAGGTGAAGGAAGAAAACTGTAAAACTCTTCTTTTTCTTCACTTATTTTTGTCCAATTTTTTTGCTTCTCCACATTATTTCAACAAAGAAATATTTTGGAAGGTGGATATTTCCTATATTTGACATTTGTCCAAAATGTAATAGTTTCTGACAGTCTGCAGAAATTGCTGGTTCTTTTTTCTATAAATATTTGCTTGTTTCTGAGCCACAGTTTTGAATTACTTTAAGGCTGAAAATTTGGGCACTTTGATGGTGATTCACAAGCAAACCAGGTATCTCTGCCTTGGAGGTGGCAATGGTGACCTGTACCAGGTCAGGCAGGATGGGTGTCTGAGGGCGATGATGGGTTTGGTTGAACTGAGCTCACCACCACAGCCTGTCCAAGGCCCCAGTACGTGTTCACGGAGTACGGTGTCTGTGAGGGCGAGTGTGTGCAAGTGTGCGGGTGGTGTTCGGGTACAGATGTGTGCATTCCTAACCAATTCTTTGAACCTTCGTTATCCAGCTCTCTAAACTTTTTAAAAGCTGGCTTTATTTTTAAAATGTTCGGTCTGTAGCAGACTATACCATCGATTGGTAATTTTACTATGAGAGCATCCATGAGTCACAGTCAGGGACTGGGAATCTATTTTGCTTCATGATGTGCACAGCATAAAAAAAAAAATTATTAAAGAGCTTAATATCTAGTTTTATCTTTAATTTCCCTCCTACTCCAAAACATGGTGTATTTTCTGGGACCCAAGAGACTGCCTTGCTGCAGGACAAGTGCGTATAAGAAAAGATCTAAAAAACAAGGTTGTAGAAGATTTTGAAATCATGTGGTTCTGCTTTAAACCCATGGTATTGTTTGATAACCGGGGGTTGTTTCCACTCTTAGAGAGCACGGCTGGAAAAGACGGCAGCTGAAGAACCTGCCTTAAAGCCCATCTCACCATCTCCCTGTCGTGGTTTAACTCGGCTGGCAACTAAGCACCACGCACTATGCAAGCCGCTATGAAGAAAACCAGCTCTATCCCAGCCGAAACCAGGACACTCCCTCAAATATTCCTGAAACTGCTTTTCCTTTTTCTCAGTGGAGGAGAAGCCGAAACGGCAGGACAAACCCTGTCCCTGCCTGGGGGCAGTGGGGGCAGCACGATCCTCTCGTTCCTCTCCTCCTTTCCACCCCAAGGCAGGGGTGGCCTCGCTGCTAGCCGGGAGCTGGCAAAACGTTTGCCTTCCCCTGCATTTGGTCCACAGCCGGGCTGGGAGGAGGGCGGGCACTGGTACCCGGGCAGGTCAGGTACCCCGAGCACAGCATCCCTCGCTGCGTTGCCCCCGAGGCCCAGCTCTGGCTGGTTGTCCCCAGCCCTCGTGCCTCCCTCCGTCCCCCACCTCTGCCTCCCCGCAGCGGCATTTCCTCCGTGCCACGGACACAGGGACCCCTCTCCCACCTGCTGCCCGCCGCACAACTGCTCTTCCCTCCTGCAACCTTCCCTGAAAAACAAACTACCACCCCAAACCCACATTTTTTCCAAGCAATCCTCCCACTTTCTGTTTTCCTCACCCTCTCCCTCATTATCCTGGGTCTCGCTTTTGTTTGTCTTGGCTATTTTGGGCTGGAGGCTCTTTGGGGAAGGGAATACAGTTTTTAAGTGTCGCCTGCTCAGGATGTGAAGTGTTCGATTCCTTCCAGCTAAGCGAAGCCAAATTGATAAACGAGGCATAAACTGGCTCAGAAGTGCCTACCTGAGCGTGGGCACCTGGTTAGCTGAATCAGCTTTAACGGTTGTAATTCATTAAGCAGGTGTACCCTGATGTTTTGGGGGGGGGGGGGGGCGTATTTTTTAATAAC